GAGAGGGGTGAGGGACACGTGGAGAGGGGTGAGGGACACGTGGAGGGGCAGAAGGACACATCAACATTTTCCCTCGTGCCCATTCTGGGGGGAAGAGGTAGATTTCTGGTGGCAGAGCAGGAGCTGCTGGGCAACAGCCTTGGTTGTTCTCAGCTCCCCGTGCTCTGAGTCACACCAGTAACCCCAGGGAATGGGAATGGGCAGGGAACAAGCTCAGGGATCCACACACCGACACAGTAGCGCCCGTTGGGAGCCAGAACGAATCCGGGCTTGCAGATGCACTTGAAGCTTCCATCCTCGTTGATGCACATCCCGTTGAGGCACATGTTGGTGGTGGCACACTCGTCGTGGTCTGGGGAGGACAAACACCTGGGCTGAGCCTGAGAGCAGCAGCAAGACCCTCCTGTGCTCAAAAACCCTCTGAGTCCCATCTCAAACTCTTGTGGCAGTGGGTGCTAATCCTCGAGGAAGAGGGATGGTTTGGGATGGAAGGGAGCTTAAACAGCATCTGCTCCAACCCCCTGCCATGGGCAGGGGCACCTTCCCACTGCTTCTCCTGGTGAGAAGAAGGAGAAATCCTGCTGGGAACTTTCTTTCCCACCTTTCCTGGTGGGAAGAAGTCCTGCTGCACCCCCGGTACTCTCAGCCAGTGAAAGACTCAAACGCCAGCTTCTGGAGCATGTCCTGCTTCCAAACCCAGCCCTGCTGATGCTCCTGGACCCCAAAACCCACAGGAGCACTCACAGCCTTAAAAACCCCTTAAAAACCCCTTCCCACTTGAGCTCTCTCATTTTAAGACACCCTAGAGCTGAAGGGAGCGCAGGGGTAGGAAGGGGATTTAAGGAGATCTGATTAAACCAACCCTCAACCCCGAGGGAGAACATAATCCCAGCCCAGTCCCAAGCTCCCCAGGGGCCACCAGGAGCCTCACCAACACAGTTCTTGCCATCGGGGGTGATCTCAAAGCCAGCGTTGCAGATGCACTGGAAGCTGCCGTCGGTGTTGACGCAGCGGCCATTCCTGCACATCACCCCGTTCATGATGCACTCATCGATGTCTGCCAGGAGAGGGACACAGCAAGGTAGGAGCAGCTTAATGATCTCCAGTTTATTAATCTCCAGTTTAATAATCTCCAGTTTAATAATCTCCATGAGAAAACCAGCCCAGTGCTCTCAGACTCCAGAAGAATTCGCCTCAAAAACATCTAGTTGGGAAATTCGGAAAGCTTTTCGCGCTGCAAACTGAGGGGTCCTTTGGAAACCATTCGGTTGGAAAGAGAGGAAAAATTAAGAATTCCACAGGGAAATCTGCCTTTGCTTCTTGTTTCACGTGGTGAAATGTTTCCTACCTGTGGTTAACTTTTAGCAGTCCCTCATCTTTGTGCTGCAAGGCCCTGAGAGAACAACCTTGCTGGGCGTCCTACACCGATACAGATTCGCCTCAAACCCCCATCTTCTGCCAAATAAAATCCCTTAAACAGAGTTCTGCTCTTGGAAAGGACTCTGTGGCTTCCTTGATTGCCACCAAGCAATTTTAAGGCAGATTAAGGCAGAGGGAACTTCTCCAAGACAGATCCCACCACACACACACACGTGGCTGGAGGTTGGTTGGCATTAGAGGGCTCCTCGCTTTGTTTCCCCTTTAGAACCATTCCCCTTGGGTTCCCAGGGCTCTGACACCCCTGGAGCTCATCAAAAGGGGAGGGACAACCCTTACCAATGCAGGCCTGCTTGGTGGGGGTGCTCTGGAAGCCCTCGTGGCACTTGCAGTGGTAGGAGCCCGGGGTGTTGACGCAGTCGCCGTGCACGCAGGGGCTGCTGGAGCACTCGTCCACATCTGCCAGGGGAAAGAAAACACCAACCCCTGAGCGTCCAGGAGACACAACCAGCTCCCAGGACAGGCACAAGAAGGGCTGGGGAGGTGCTGAGCCCCTTGTGCTGACAGCAAGGTCCCTCAGATGGCAGCACCCCAACAAGGATCCCCCTCAACGTGGTGTCACCTGCACGAGGACACTCAATCCCAGTCTGTGTCACTGAGGAAGGTGTTTAACAGTGCTGGTCCCAGTGTGGACCACTGGGGACACCACCACTCGTTCCTAGTTTCCACCTGAACTGGGATAATTTGGACACAACCCTCCAGACAATTCCTTGTCCACCCAACCCACACCACTCCAACTCAGAGCTAAGGATGGTGAAGGGAGTGATCTGAAAGGCCTTGCAGAAGTAGATGACACCTGTAACTCTCCTCTTTTTCCCTGGTGAAGCCACACCATGATCAAAGGCCACCAGGTCAGTGCCTTTGAAAATCTCTGTGGGTGTGTCTTGAGAAAAACACCAACTTTCCCTTTGCTTTGTCACTGAAGTTCCGTTTTCATAAAGACAGAGAAAATTTTCCATCATCCCACCTGACACGATCCCTCTACCCTCTGTCTCCAGCCTCTTGTGGGAAGCTCTGATGGGATCACAGAACCACAGAACATGCTGAGTTGGAAGGGACCCCCA